CCTCTCTCGCTGTGTCTCTCTCTGTCAAATAAATAAAACCTTAAAAAAGAAATGTCTAATCCAAAACTGACAGTTCTCTCTGGATTTCAGATGCCAAAAAGAAAAATTAACTATAATTATTTTATTAATAATTTTACCCAGATTTTAAAATTCTTTCCCCATTTAATTTGTACCTTTAGTCAAAAAATAGGGTGCATCTTGATTTTAAAAGGGACAAGGCATCAACTCAAGCTATAAAAATAATAAATTTATATAAGTGAGTGGGGTAGAGGATAGGAGGTTTTCAAATTCACTGAGCCACAAATATAATTAAAAAGACTTTTGAAATTATCATTTCTAACTATCATTTACCATTGTTCTGTACATGATCTTCAAGCACCTCATTTTTAAGAATCCCACAAAGTTCCGATAGAGTCTCTAAGTGAATAACATGAATGATCAAAGGCCTGAAGACGTCATACAATGACACACACAGTTTCTCCAAAAGTTCACTAAAACGAAAGAATAAAACATGGCTATAAGTAGTAGTCTTTTCGGGATTTTCTCATAGTTTAAAAGGTATCACTGATTTCTTCTAGCCAATAAAAATAAAAATCTACTGGAAAATAGTGCATGGGAACATTATATAATGAGAACTCAAAGGGTGAAAATAATACTATAGATTTTTCTTTGCTTTAAAAAGCTCAAAATCCATAAGCAGTCTTCAGCAGCCACTCCAAAGTAGCTATCCCCAGCCTAATGTCAATTCATTACAACTTTATTTCAGCAATACTTTATATATGTCCACAATAACAAATATTTTGATTTAATTACCCTTTTATATTCTACATCATTTGTGAGTCAAATGTAACGTTTTCCCTAGGAAAGATGAATTGAAAATTCTTGAATACTTGGATTTAGATTAACAAAATTCAAAGTACTTGGACATAAAAGTATTTTTGACAATTTTAAACATTTGAAAGGAAAAACTTAAGTTGTCTATATTCTTCAAACCGTCAACAGTACTCTTCTATACATAGCATTTCATCAGAAGTATCAAAACTATAAGATACATCTGTCTCTTCCTCATTACAAAAGTCATAATCTTAGAAACTTTGTAAGAGTCAAATCATCAATATGAAGAAACCAAAAGTGACTAACACAGGAGCAGAAAGACACTGAGAAAAATAAGGAAAAGGTATTAAATAGTGTCTGTATTTTTAAGTGTCTTTCATTGGTTAGAACCACAGAATTTTTTAACTAGAAGGAATTATTATACTTAGTGGAGATAAAGGGATATAGGCTTCTTATTATCATACCATATTGTCTCCACAGATATATTATAAATAATGTAAAAGCATGTTGGCCTTTAAATTGCACATTTATTTTAAAATAACCACTGTTCCATCCAATAATATTCTGTTCACACACTCACAAAAGTTAAAACACTCTGCAGTTGACTTTAAAATACTCCTATAATATAGTAAGTCATGATGGTCATTAGCAAATTAAATCTTAAAAACAAGAGTTACGAGTTTGTGTACCACCCACTCTAATTTTGATGTTGGTTTTGTGAAAAATTCATTGTAAAGCTGGTGCTCATCCTGGCATACGTGGACCATAAAGGCACAGCCACTGCGAATCTGCAGGAAATAAACACACATTACCTACAGTTAAAGACACACAATGATCCCAGCATTTATGAGTAAAACAAATATTTTATTTGCACTGAGGTTATGCACATATATTCACAAAATAACTCATTCAAGAACAGAAAGTGGCTGGTTTTCAATGGTTTACTGCATAATGTGAATATGGCTCATTTTTATTTTCTTTTCTAAACTTTTGACAATGAAAATAAATTACTCTTCTAGTTGAAGAGGGGGTATTTACTAAAAGAATGTTTATGTATTTTTCTATAATATGAATTAAAATCGCTAAACAAAAGGCACTTCTACAGCAAAAATTAAACTAAATCGTCAGTATAAATCCACAAACTCTGAAACTTCATCTTTCAAGGAGTAATATTTGTTTATGAGTCTTCATTCTTCAAAAAACAGATCAAAATGAGAATACTTTAACAAGCTGAATGCTAATTATAACCTAGATTTCTCATAACTGAAAGAAAAATTCTTTAAGCTTGTTGATATAGGATCCAAAACTTATTTACCTAAATACAGCTTCAAACATCAAAATATTTCAGAGGAAGGTTTAACTATCAATCAAAACTAGCAGACGCTTACCAAGGCACAATGATCTCTATTATTCTGGCTTGTTAACTCTGTTACAGTACAAGTGATGCTAGGGCCCAAAAGGAGCTCCCGCTGGTCAAGGTAACACTGATGGATGTCATTTAGCAGTTGTTGGTATCTGATGAAAAGCAAATGAGATTGGAGTATAAACTTCTGATTTCAGATATGTAAATTAAATCCGATCTTAAATCCCAGGTTTCAAAACCTCTAAAGCAATAAGGTCACCTCTCATTTGCCCACATTAAATACTAGAAATATTTATATATGAAAAGAGATAAAATAAACCATAATGAACTGTGGTTCAAAAACTATAATTTTTATTCTTTTAAAAAAAGATTTATCTCCCAAGAGTAGAGAAAGATCTTACATCTTTGAAATTAAAAGCAAATCCTGCTATGGGAAAAAGAGATCCCTTGCAAACTCAAAAGTCAGGTCTACAACCTTTCCCCAAAGTAAGTTATGTGCTACAAGAAAAAGCTTGCATATTATGGAAGGTAATTGCTCAGAAAATATCAGAAACATAACAGATTTGGAAAAATGGCACATCATGAAGAAGGTAATTTAAAGAACTTCTAGGCACTCACTCAGGTATTTTTTCAGATCGCTGTTCTATTTGTTCGATAAGAGTCTGCAAAATAAAAATATATTAAAAATACATCTGTTTTAGATATACTTTTAATTACTTCCTGATTTTAACAAATACATGCTAATGTTAGAAAATCTATAAATACAAAAAAGCTGAAACATAAAAATCACTTATAAATACCACAAAATAACCACAACTAATATTTTAGAATATTCTTTCAGGTTTTGTATACACACACTATAGTTACTATATTAAAAAAAAAAAAACAAAAACCCCGGAATTATACATTCAACATGATAATCTGCTTTCAAAAAAACTACATTTCAAAACATCATCCTACTCAACATCAAATGAAAACATATGGAATGCCTTAGCATAGTGCCTGGCACCTAGTAAACACTCGATGCATAATAATAATCATTGTTATTATTTAAAAAAACATTATTTTAAATGGCCACATAATATCCCCTTAGGCAAACGTACCATAAGTCAAATATTGTGTTAGACTTCTAGACTGTTTCCTGAAAAGAAACGTCTAGTGGTTAGGAGCTCTGGGCCTGGAATGAAACTTAGAGGGTCTGGGTGCCAGCTCCCCAGGAGCTGTGTGAGCCCAGGAGAGCGGGCTCACTTCTGAGTTTCCACTTCCTACCACATAAAGCAGGTATAATAATAGTACCTACTTCCCAGCTGGGGACCCCCAACACTGGGTCAAAATACCTAAAGGGGCTTTTGCTCCATTCTCCTAAAATGTTTTTTGAGGAAGGAATTGATTTACATCTCTATCAGCAGTATTGTCTGCCTCATCAAATTCTCAAAAGCACTGACTGATACACCTTAATCTGCCATTGTCTTAACAAAAAAAAAAATGCCATCTAACCTTAAACTACATGTATTCTCCACTGAGGCTACAGATGCACTCATATTTAATGAACCATTTGCATTTTCTTTGCGTAATCTGGTCATTTATATATCAGATATTCATCTTTCTTACTGAGTTAGAAGCACTCTTAGCATATTAAAAAATATTAACCTTCTTACTTATCTGTTGCAAACATGCTAGTTTCTGCTTTTCTTTGGCTGTTTAAAATTCAGAAAATGTAATTTTTATATCCTGAATCTTTTACTCTGTAATTTTTTTCCCAATAATTTCTGCTAGGTTTTTTTTTTTCCCGCTTATTTTTACATTTAACTCTTTAGTTCATTTAGAATGTATTTTGGTAATGTTATAAAGTGAGGAGCTTACTTTTTTCCCCCCAAATACTTAGCAAATCTTCCCAATACTATATAGAAAACTCTAACCCTTCCTCTTTAAGATTGATTTCTTTATATACTAAGTTCTAGAATTTCTCATTCCAATGATCCACCAATAAATTCTTGATCAGTATCAATGTATTTTTCAAATTTACTTGTGTAATTAGTCTTGCTTATTTAGTATACCAGATTAATTTTAGCATCATCCAAAAAGAAATTCCATTGGAATTTTTGTTAAGATTATATTTGACTCATAAATAATATTAAAAGGAATTGACATTTAAAAAATTAATGGGTGGCGCTGTCAGTTAAGCGTCTGCCTTCAGCTCAGGTCATGACCCCAGGGTCCTGGGATCGAGCCCCGTATTGGGCTCCTTGTTCAGCGGGGAGCCTGCTTCTCCCTCAGCCTGCCACTCCCCCTGCTTGTGCTCTCTCTTTCTGACAAATAAATAAATAAAACCTTTAAAAAAAATAAAAAATTAAGTCTCCTTAACCAGGGACAAGAGAGGCTTATCATTTACTCAATCTCATAATTTTCTGTCTAGTTTTTGTCATTTTCTTCATCGTTGTATTTCCATTAAAGTTGTTCCTAGGTAAGTATTTTATGCTATCTGTCACTAATATAAATAGAACTCCATCACATATATTAACTGGCTACCATTGGTAAATGGCATGTAGGAAAGCCACTGATAATTATATAATCATTTTATATTCACTTACCACACTGAGCTATATCACACTTATCTATACCATTTCTAATCAAATTTTTACCATTGGTATTTGACTACAAAGCAAAACCAACCAATCAGGCACAATCTAAACCTTATACCATCAATGAACCACTCTTCTCCTGTATCTTCTATAAATAAGACCAAGTTTTTCTTATTTCAAAAAACAAAAAACTGAGGGAGGAGTTAAGATGGCAGAGGAGTAGGGAGACCCTAAGCTTGTCTCGACCCTCAAAACACAGCTGGATAGCTACCAAGTCATTCTGAACACCCAAGAAATCAACTGGAGGTCTGAGAGAACAAAAACTGCAGATCTACAAGTAAAAAGCAACCACCTTTTGGAAGGTAGGAGGTGCAGAGAGTTGACTTGGGGGAGGTATTACTGTTGGTAAGGAGGCGGGGAAGGAGGCCTGCCTACCGAGCCTACTGTAAAGTATTAGAAGCAGCAGAGCACAAAATCTGAACTTTTAGAAGTCCTCTACCATGGGGGACGTGCCTGGCTTCAAGGTGCCCAGGTGGGAAAGTGTGGCAGAATCCCAGGAGTAACATCTTGGTCTGAGGATCCCCTGGGTCACAAGAAGGGGTGGTGCCACTGTTCCCAGGCATAGGAGTGTGGAAACCAGCTGAGAGCAGCAGGTCTCAGTACCAGCTTTCTACTCTGTTTTGCCATAAATTGCGAATGGCTGCGTGGTCATGTGACCACTTTCCTGGAACCTGCCAGCAAATGGCAAAAGTGGAACAAGACCCTCCCCGGGAGGAAGAGAACAGGTCTGTACCAGGGGAATTCCTAAAATTTTGGAGTTTTGAACATGCCCAAGATAAAAAAGCTCAGACACAGGCACGGTGAACACAGGGTTCAGACAGAAACTGAGTACAAAGAGTGGTGACTGATTGCTCTTCTGTGAGGGCTCACTGAAGAGCAGGGGCACAAACTTTCAGCTAAGACCAGGGCACCACCGTATTCATCCTGCTGGTCAGTGCTGAATGCCTTCAGGGAGCAAAACAGCACCACCTAGTGGAGGTCCAAGCAGCATACACCAGGCCCACCCTCCTGCACCCTGGAGGCACATTTCCACTGAAACAAGTAGGCCTGAGAATCAGGGCAGCAGGCCCCTCCCCCAGAAGACAAGCACAAACAATTCACTCCTACCAAGTCTACTGATCATAGAGTGCTGCAAAGCTTCAGCTCTTGGGGAAACAGAATCTAGCTTCTTTTTTACTTTTATTCTTTGTTTTTTATTATTATTTTTTATTTGGGGATACAGATTCTTTTAACAAGCAGACCAAAACACACCAAGGATCTAGTTTATTTGTTTTTTTTTCTTTGTTTTGGACATTTTTTGTTTATTTTTTTTTCTTTCTTCTTTTCTTTTCTAGACAAATGACAAGATGGGAGAAATTCACCCCAAAAGAATAGGAAATAGAACTCATTGCCAGGGATTTATTCAATACAGATATAAGTAAGATGTCCGAACTAGAATTTGAAACTACAATTATAAGAATACTAGCTGGCCTTGAAAAAAGCACAGAAGACACTAGAGATCCCTTACTGCAGAGATAAGAGAACTAAAATCTAGTCAGGCCAAAATTAAAAATGCTATAACCAAGATACAAACCCAAATGGAGGCCATAAAAACAAGGACGGGCGAATCAGAGGAGTGAATCAGTGATAGAAAAGATAAAATTATGAAAAATAATGAAGCTGAAAAGAAGGTAGACTTAGGAAATTCAGCGACTTATTAAAACATATTAACATTCATATCATAGGAGTCACAGAAGATGAAGAGGGATAAAAAGGAGTAGGAGGTTTATTTAAACAAATTACAGCTGAAAACTTCCCTAATCTTGGGAAGGACACAGACATCAAAATCCAAGCAGCACAGAGAACTCCCATTAAATTCAACAAAAGCTGGCCATTGCCAAGGCATATTATAGTCAAATTCACAAAATACACAGACAAGGAAAGAATCCCGAAAGCAGCAAGGGGGAAAAAAAAGTCCTTAACCTACAAGGGATGAGAGATAAAGTTCACAGCAGATCTGTCCACAGAAACTTAGCAGGCTGGAAGAGAGTGGCAAGAAATATTCAATGTGCTGAATGGGAAAAATATGCAGCCAAGAATTCTTCATCCAGCAAGACTGTCATTCACAACAGGAGAGATAGAGTTTCCCAGGCAAACAAAAACTAAAGGAGTTCATGACGACTAAACCAGCCCCGTAAGAAAGTTTAAGTGGGGGGGGCGCCTGGGTGGCTCAGTTGGTTAAGCGACTGCCTTCGGCTCAGGTCATGATCCTGGAGTCCCTGGATCGAGTCCCGCATCGGGCTCCCTGCTCGGCAGGGAGTCTGCTTCTCCCTCTGACCCTCCCCCCTCTCATGTGCTTCCTCTCTCTCATTCTCTCTCTCTCAAATAAATAAATAAAATCTTTAAAAAAAAAAAAAAAGTTTAAGGGGGACTCTTTGAATGGAGGAAAAAAAAACAAAAGCGACAAATTCTAGAAAGGACCAGAGAATATCACCAGAAATACCAACTCTACAAGTAACACAATGGCACTAAATTCATATCTTTCAATAATCACTGTGAATTTAGGGGTGCCTGGGTGGCTCAGTTGGCTGAGCATCTGCCTTTAGCTCGGGTCATGATCTCCAGGTCCTGGAATCAAGCCCGGTGTTGGGCTTCCTGCTCAGCAGGGAGTCTGCCTCTCTCTCTCGCCCTCTTCCCTCCCCACCTCTTGTTTTCGCTCTCTCTCAAATAAAATCTTTAAAAATAAATGAAAAATAAAAAAAATAATCACTCTGAATGTAAATGGACTAAATGCTCCAATCAAAAGACACAGGGTATCAGAATGGGTAAAAAAACAAGACCTATCTATTTCTGCCTCCAAGAGACTCATTTTAGACCTAAAGACACCTGCAGTTTGAAAGTGGGGGATGGAGACCCATCTATCATGCTAATGGACATCGAAAGAAAGCCAGAATAGCCATACTTACATCAAACAAACTAGATTTTAACACATAAATAGAGATGAAGAAGGGCATTATATCATAATTAAATGGTCTATCCAGCAAGAATATCTAACAATTGTAAATATTTATGCCCCCAACTTGGGAGCACCCAAATATATAAATCAATTAATAAATATAAAGAAACTCTTTGATAATAATACAATAACAGTAGGGGACTTTAACACCCCACTTGCAGCAATGGACAGATCATCGAAGCAGAAGATCAACAAGCAACAAGGGCTTTAAATGACACACTGGACTAGATGGACTTAACAGATATTTTCAGAACATTTCATCCTAAAGCAGCAGAATACACATTCTTTTCAAGTACACATGGAACATTCTCCAAAACAAATTACATACTGGGTCACAAATTAGCCCTCAACAAGTACAAAAAGATCGAGATCATACCATGCATATTTTCAGACCGCAACGTTATGAAACTTGAAGTCAACCACAAGGAAAAATCTGGAAAGACCTCAAATACATGGAGGTTAAAGAACATCCTACTAAAGAATGAATGTCTTACCTGGGAAATTAAAGAAGAAATAAAAAAGTACATGGAAGCAAATGAAAATGAAAACATGACAGTCCAAAACCTTTGAGATGCAGCAAAGGCAGTACTAAGCAGGAAGTATATTGCAATACAGGCCTATCTCAAGAGGCAAGAAAAGTCTCAATTACACAACCTAACCTTACACCTAAAGGAGCTAGAAAAGGAACAGCAAAAAAAGCCTAAAGCCAGCAGAAGAAGGGTAATAATAAGATTGGAGCAGAAATAAACAATTCTATAGAAACAAAAAAACAAACAAAAAAAGTAGAATGGATGAACGAAACTAAGAGCTGGTTCTTAATTAAGAAAATTGATAAATCCCTAGCCAGACTTATCAAAAAAAAAAAAGAGAGAGAGAGAGAAAGGACGCATATAGATAAAATCATGAATGAAAGAGATCACAACCAACACCACAGAAATACAATTATAAGAGAATACTATGAAAAATTACATGCCAACAAACTGGGCAACCTGGAAGAAATGGACAAATACCTAGAAACTTACAAATTACCAAAACTGAAACAGGAAGAAATAGAAAATTAGAACAGACCCATAACCAGCAAAGAAATTGAATCTGTAATCAAAACTCTCCCAACGAACAAAAGTCCTGGGCCAGATGGCTTCCCAGGGGAATTCTACCAAGCATTTAAAGAAGAGCTAATACCTATTCTTCTCAAACTGTTCCAAAAAATAGAAATGGAAGGAAAATTTCCAAACTCATTCTACAAAGCCAGCATTAGTGTGATTCTAAAACCAGACAAATATCCCACTAAAAAGGAGACTATCCCTGATGATCCCAATATCCCTGATGAACATGGATGCAAAAAATTTCAATAAATACTAGCAAATCGAATTCAACAGTACATTAAAAGAACTATTCACCATGATTAAGTGGGATTTATTCCTGGTTCAATATTCACAAATGAATCAATGTGATACACATTAATGAAACAAACAATAAGAACCATATGATCCTGTCAATAGATGCAGAAAAAGCATTTGACAAAATACAGCAACCTTTCCTGATAAAAACCTCAACAAAGTAGGGATAGATGGAACATACCTCAACATCATAAAGGCCATATATGAAAGACCCACAGCTAATATCATCCTCAATGGGGAAAAACTGAGAACCTTTCCCCTACGGTCAGGAACAAGAAAAGGATGTCCACTCTCACCATTACTTTTTAACATAGTACTGAAAGTCTTAGTCTCAGCAATCAGACAACAAAAAGAAATAAAAGGTATCCAAATCAGCAAGGAAGAAGTTAAACTTTCACTATCTGAGGACAACATGATACTCTACGTAGAAAACCCGAAAGACTCCACCAAAAAATTGCTAGTATACATGAATTCAGCAAAGTTGCAGGATATAAAATCAATGTGCAGAAATCTGTTGCATTTCTATACACCAAAAATGAAACAGCAGAAAAAAAAATCAAGGAATCATTCCAATTTGCAACTGGACCAAAAACAATAAAATACCTAGGAATAAACCTAACTAAAGACGTAAAATATCTGTACTCTAAAAACTATAGAACACCTACAAAAGAAATTGAAGAGGACACAAAGAAATGGAAAAGCATTCCATTCTCATGGATTAGAAGAAAAAACATTGTTAAGATGTCTTTACTACCCAACGGAATCTACACATTTAATGCAATCCCTATCAAAATTCCACTAGCATTTTTCACAAAGCTAGAACAAACAATCCTAAAATTTGTATGAAACCACTAAAGACCCCAAATAGCCAAAGCAATTCTGAAAAACAAAACTGGGGGCATCACGATTCCGGATTTCAAGCTATCTTACAATGCTGTAGTCATCAAGACAGTATGGGACTGGCACAAAAACAGACACAGATCAATGGAATAGAAAAGAGAACCCAAAACTGGATACACAACTATATGGTCAACTAATCTTCGACAAAACAGGAAATATCCAATGGAAAAAAGACAGTCTCCTCAACAAATGGTGCTAGGAAAACTGGAGAGCAACATGCAGAAGAATGAAACTGGACCACTTTCTTACACCATATACAAAAATAAATTCAAAATGGATGAAAGACCTAAATGTGAGATAGGAAACCATCAAAATCCTAGAGAACACAGGCAGCAACCTCTTTGACCTCGGCCATAGCAACTTCCTACTAGACATGTCTCTGGTAAGGGAAACAAAAGCAAAAATGAACTAATGGGACTTCATCAAGATAAAAAGCTTCTGCACAGCAAAGGAAACAATTGACAAAACTAAAAGGCAGCCTGCAGAATGGGAGAAGATATTTGCAAACCACATATCTGATAAAGGGTTAGTCCTAAAATCTATAAAGAACTTACCAAACTCAACACCCAAAAAACACCAAATAATCCAGTTAAGAACTGGGCAGAAGACATGAACAGGCACTTTTCCAAAGAAGACATCCAGACTGCTAACAGACACAGGAGAAGATGTTCAACATCACTCATCATCAAGGAAATACAAACCAAAACCACAATGAGATATCGCTTCACACCTGTCAGAATGGCTAAAATTAGCAACACAAGAAACAACAGGTGTTGGCGAGGATGCGGAGGAAGGGGAACCCTCTTACACTGTTGGTGGGAATGCAAACTGGTACAGCCACTCTGGAGAACAGTATGAAGGTTCCTCAAAAAATTAAAAATAGAAGTACCCTCCGGTCCAGCAATTGCACTACTAGGCATTTACCTAAAGGATACAAAAATACAGATCCAAAGGGGTACATGCGCCCTGATGTTTATAGCAGCATTATCAACAATAGCCAAACTATGGAGAGAGCCCAAATGTTCACCGACTGATGAACAGATCAAGATGTGGTACATATACACAATGGAATATTACTCAGCCATCAAAAGAAATGAAATTTTGCTACTTGCAATGACATGGATGGAGCTAGAGTGAAATAATGCTAAGTGAAATAAGTCAGAGAGAGACAAATACCGTATAATCTCACTCATATGTGGAATTTAAGAAAGAAAACAGATGAACATATGGGAAGGGGAAAAAGAAAAAAAAGAGAGAGGGAAACACACCATAAGAGATTTTTAACGACAGTGAACAAACTGAGGGTTGAGAGAGGGAGGTGTATGGGGAAGAGCTAGATGGGTGATGGGTATTAAAGAGGGCACTTGTTGTGATGAGCACTGTGCTGTATGTAAGTGATGAATCACTGAATTCTACTCCAGAAACCAACATTGCACTGTATGTTAACTTAAAAAAAAAAAATCCTTCAACTGACTCTCAAGAGGGCAACAGCAAGAGAGTCAGAGGCAGCAAAAGTAAACTACTCTTTCCAGTAACTTCACAATGAGTAGTAAAAAGATACGTGTACCAGGTCCAGTCAACTGTATCTTGGATATATTAAACGTATATGTATTAACACATATATCTACTTTCTGCACCCTCCATTTCCAATCACTCAAATCAAGATAAATATTTAGTGCATTCCTTTATGTACCAGGCACTGTGCTAAGGAGAATAAATAAGGCACATGTTCCCCACCTCAAGAATACACTACCAACACCTTATCAACCCCTATTTCCCATGGACTACCGCAAAATCTTCCTTGTTAATCAGGCCTCCCTGTCTCAAATCTCTTTTCACCATATTCCATTCTTCATAGTGCATCCTTAATCGAAAGAAATGGTAAATCTGACCAAATCATTCTCCTGTTTAAAATACTTCATTAATTTGAGCCCCATGTCAAGCTCCGCACTCAGCAGGGAATCTGCTGGAGATTCTCTCTCCCTCTACCCCTCCCCCCACTTGCTCCTCTAACTAAAGCTTTAAAATAAATAAATACAATAAAATACTTCACTAGCTGTCTACTTTTCCTCAATTAGCACGACATGTGATACCCCTCTGAAATGATCCCTGCAGTCTTTCCTGTCTTTTTTCCCAACTGCATGCTATCAATGTCCTGTGTTTTGATCATAACAAGTTACAAGTTCTCCCAAAATATATGTCTCTACAACCATCCCTATATATGCTGTTCTCTCTGTAGAAAATACCCTCATCAATCCCCTCAAGTTCACTATATATCTGAGCTTTTTAAGCTCAAATGTCACTTCCATCTAGAATCCTTCCCTGAGTATTATAGGAAGAGCTAGGTGTTTCCTGCTCTGGGCTCTTAAGACATCACAAAGGTACACTGCTGTAATGTGGAAGGACAGTGCCTACCTTTCATTAGTGTTCATTTCCTGGTATAAGCAAAGGGCCTAACATACAGCAGAACTTCAAAAGGGCTGGCTAAATAAACTTCAGAGTAATATCCTATTTATGTCAATAGACTTACTCTGACTTTGGGAGCAGCAGCTCGAAATTTCACATAAAATAATGTGAAGGCATTGTCTGCATTAGGTACAGATGCAGGATCCTAAAGAGACATGGGGGAGGAGAGGGAAGGGAGATAATTAGCAAACAAATAATTATTCAGAAAATGTGACACCAACTATTTCAAACAGCTACTACTTGGCCTATATACCAACCAAAAGCTTAGAGAGAAAAATCTCAAAGAGAGATTACATATTAGTATTATTGCTACAAATGAGAAATACTTATGTGGAGCTGTCATCTCCTTCCTCCTTCTAATTAAAATGTACCCTATGTTACATGAATTTTGGTAGTAAACAGACTTCAATTCAGATTCATACTCAGTCACTTACTGACAGTAGGATATTGGTCAAATTACCGGACCTCTCTGAGATTCAGTGCATCCATTAAATGGTGATAACATATACTCCTAAAGAGCTACTGGGTGACTCAGTTGGTTAAGCGTCTGCCTTC